GTCAAGAGGGCTTTAGTTTACTGATTGTGGATTATGTCTGAGAGACCTGCAACACAGACACTCTAACTAAGAAGTTTCCAGGGAAACCCAGAGTCAAGACACACACACACAGGAGAGAGAGACAAAAAGGACAAATGGACACTCACAGCTAACAGATGTTAAATACAGCTCAACTCCTCGGCATGTTAATGTAAAACTTCACACTAAAAGTCTGTTTCTTTCTTCCTATTGCTCAATGCATCTTTTTTTTTAAAAAAAGAGATTTATTTATTTACTTGAAAGACAGAGTTACAGAGAAAGAGGGAGAGACAGAGAGAGATCTTCCATCTGTTGGTTCACTCCCCAAATGGCCACAACAGCCAGGACTCGGCCAGGCTGAAACCACAAGTCTGGAACTATATCTGGGTCTCTCACATGAGTGGCAGGGGCCCGAGCACTTGGGCCATCTTCTACTGCTTTTCCCAGGCTGTTAATAGGACGCTGGATGGAAGTGAAGGACCCGGGACTCAAACTGGCACCTGCATGAGATGCTGGCATTACAGGTAGCAGCTTAACCCACTGCACCACAATGCCAATGCCATTGTCTGACTTCCACAGAAAATTACAACATGTATTAACAGATAAGAAAAAAATCACAGTCTGAAGAGACAAAGCATTAGAACGCAACTCAGTTGTGGAAGAGATTTTGGAATTGTCAGATTGGGATTTAAAATAGCTATGATTAATATGCTAAGGACTCTAATGAAAAAGGCATTAAGAACAGATGCATGAATTAAGCTGACAGACGCTCTAAAGAAATACTCAAAAAATTTTGGAAATTAGAAATGCTGTAACAGAAAGAATGCCTTTAAGTGGCTCATCATTGTGCTGGGTATCAACTAAAGAAACAGTGAACTTGAAATATAAAGAAAAAGACAAAAACTAAATGCAAATGAAAAATACTTCTCCTTAAAATTGGTGTGAAATAGTAAAAATCAGCCAGTGCCGCGGCTCAATAGGCTAATCCTCCACCTGCAGCACCGGCACCCCAGGTTCTGGTCCTGGTTGGGGCGCCAGATTCTGTCCCAGTTGCCCCTCTTCCAGGCCAGCTCTCTGCTGTGGCCCGGGAGTGCAGTGGAGGATGGCCCAGGTGCTTGGGCCCTGCACCCACATGGGAGACCAGGAGAAGCACCTGGCTCCTGCCTTCGGATCAGTGTGGTGTGCTGGCCGCAGCGCGCTGGCTGCAGTGGCCATTGTGGGGTGAACCAACGGCAAAGAAAGACCTTTCTCTTTGTCTCTCTCTCTCACTGTCCACTCTGCCTGTCAAAAAAAAAAAAAAAAGTAAAAATCAATGCTTAGGGGGGAATTTATAGCATTAAATCATTAAATGTAAGAGAAAGAAGAAAATTTAAAGTTTTAAGCTCTCAATTTAGAAAACTAGAGAAATAAGAGCAATATGATGTTACACAAGTTGAAAGAAGACAATAAGAAGCAGAACAGAGGAGTAGGTGGTTAGCCTAGTGGTTGAGACCCTTCTGTATGAGCGCACCTTTGTTCAGTACCTGCTGCAGCTCCTCCCTCCAGCTTTGTGCTAGTGCAGACCTTGGGAGGCAGTGGTTATGGCTCAAGTGGTTGGGATCTGCCACCCACATGAGAGACCTGGATTGAATTCCTGGTTCCTGACTTCAGCCTGGTCTAGCTCCAGCCACTGGGGGCATTTGTAGAGTAAACCAGCATGTGGGATCAATCACTCTCTCTCTCTGCCTCTCAAGGAAATAAATAAACATTTTTTTTTAATTCAAAAAAAGGAGCAGAGATCAATGAAATGGAAGATAGCAGAAAAACAAAAATAGGACCAGCAGTTTTTTGAAAATCAGAGTGAAAAGTTTTATACACATGAACACTTAATTAAACCCAAAACTTCATTGTAGTTCAGAGTTAGTAAAACAACCAGGAGGTCACCACTGGCATTTGTGTGGGAGGCAGGAGAGCACTGTGGCAAGGTGCTGTGGTAGAGGAACACCTGAAAGACAGCAGTGTCCCTGCTGCTGTGCTGTCTCAAGAAAAACACAGGAGTTCCTACAAAGTACACAAGAATTTTAAAGGTCCTAAGAATCTCTTTGAACCTTTTTTGAGAAATTTTTGGTCTTTTTATTCATACTCCCAAACTCCTCAGCTGTTCTAAGGTTTGGGATCAGTATTGTAGCATCTCAGTCTGTTCCCACTGCCTATGACTCCTGTTATCTCGGCTAGTCTTTTTCCAGTTGGCCACATACACCACCTCCATTCTTCTCAGACATGATGAATGGCTTTTCTGCCTTTTTTTTTTTTTTCAAAGACTTATTTATTTGAAAGGTAGAGTTACAGAGACAGATTGAGAGAGAGATTTACATCCGCTGAATCACTCCTCCAATGGCCACAAAGGTAGGAGCTGGGCCAGCAGAAGCTAGGAGCCAGAAACTCCCACATGCGTGGCAGGGGCCCAAGCACTTGAGCTGTCTTCCACTGCTGTCACGTTAGCAGGGAGCTGGATCAGAAGTGGAGCAGCCAGGACTCAAACCAGTGCTCATATAGGATGCTGGTGTTGCAGGCAGCAGTGTAACCTGCTGCCCCACAATGCCAGCCCCCTCTACTTTTTTATTTTTCTCTGTAAAGGAAAACCAGTTTTTTTCTGCAGTTAGACTCAAAACAGTCTCCAGGTATTTGGACTTTCTCCCCTTCCACATCAAGCCATGTTCCCCTGGAGAGGACATCAGAGCCAACACTGAGGAGAACTGATCAAGTAAACCAGCACTCTAATGAAGGAATGTGGTAACAAGGACGAGTCAGTATGGGCAGTTAGGGATGTTTCGGGATGAACAGCAGGATTGAGGCAGGACTGGTGCACACCAGAGGAGTTATAACATTTTATGACTCCATTAGAATGGCCAGGTCAGGAGGAACAGTGGTCATTTCATCATTCCTCAAACCTTGCAAGCTTTCTTTAGATGTAGAAAAGTGTTTTCTCGGGCAAATTCAGTTCATGACATGGTGTCTGTGTGGTAGTTACTCCTGTCAGTAAAATCTGTAAGGTTCAGGTAACAATTCACTCTCTTTTTTTGACCATTCTGTAGCCATTTTGATTTTTATGTTACCAATAATAAACATGTATTGGCATAAATTGAGTATCCACCCTGCCTACTCCTTTTTCTGAAATACCCTAAAATCTTTTTGTCTATGCAAATTCTATCCCTCCTTTGGGACTCAACTCCTCTATGCAGTCTTCCCTGCTTTGTAGTCCATATTGATTTCTGAACTCTTGCTGTGTTCACATGCTGTACCACACAGTGAGCTACAAGGAATCTGGAGTGATGACTTGAGTATCCAAAGCACTTAGATAATATGTGAATTAGTAGAATAGAGAATTACTAGTTAAGGTATTAAAAACTTACTCCATATGTGCCTTGAATAAATACTTGTCTATTGTTCTGGAGTTCAAAGGGACAAAATAAATATGTCCTTGAAGAAGCATCAGTTGAGTAGAAAAGATAAGACATATATAGTTAAGGAATGTGTTTTGGGAGTTCAGTTTAAGTAAAATTTAGTCCCCATAAAGTCTTCCTGTCTTACTGATGAGAAAAACTGAGGCTCAGAGAAGTTGAAGATTGTGACCAGGCTCATAATGATCAATAACTGCTAGAGGTAAAATTTAAACTTAGTATGTGTGCCATTAGAATATTTGTCTTTGGTCACAATGCCAGGGATTTAGAAGTCATACTGGTAAGAATTACCTACAGTGATTGGATGTAGGGAGTGATGAAATAGAGCAGGAAAATTGACGGCAGAGACAGCTTGGGTAACTTGACTCAGTGACGGTGCCATTGACAATGTGGAGAACACAAGACAGGATGCAAGAGGGCAGGAAAAATCTACTAATTTGGGGCACACTGACTTTTAGCTAGCACGAGTGGGGCATCTGGCAGTGAGGAATGTCTGGCTGGAAGTAAAAGGGGTTTCAGGAGAGGGAAACCTGAATCGCTGCCGTGTAGATGAAAGCATGTCTGACTTTACTAGGAATCGTACACAGAGAAGTTAGAAGCATAAGATGCCCTTTCCTGCCTGCTCGCTTGGTACCAGTTAAGCATCCCTATTCTGAGTATCTGAAATGTTCCAGAATTTGAAACATTTGGAGCTCTGACATGCAACTATTCCAAAATCTGAAAAAAAAAAATCCCAAATCTGAAAAGCTTCTGGTTCCAAAATTTCAGAGAAGGGATAGTCAGCCTGGATACTAAGTTCGTGAATACACAGAATACACATTCTTACACACTGTTGGGTAGAGAGCTGTCTGACAATATCTAACATTAAATATCCAGAAGCTCACAAATTCTGCTTTTAGGAAGATGTCCTAGAGAAACTCTTGTATATGTACAAGAATGTTCTTGATCACGGTATCTGTAGAAGTGAAAATTTTAAATGTTAATTTGTAGGAGAACAGATCTTATTATGCAGTCAGGTGAATGAACTAGATCTTCTCAACTTGGGTACTCCTGAAACATAGTTTAGAGCGAAAGGTCAAAATTGCATTTTGTTCTCATTGATGAGAAACTTCAAAACCCACATAATTCAAGTATATGTTAATTTTTTTATATGGGCATGTTCCTACAGAGGAATGTGGATTGGAAGACTGCTTGCTGTTCTTGTTTTGTCTGTCCCCTTCCCTCCATTTTTAGCTCAGGTTTTTGCAGCAGATACGGAATTAAAAAAAAAAATAGACAAAACCGTGGTATTCCCACACCCGGAAAAATTTAAAATAATCCCTAATATAATATACAAGATCAGTTTTGTGTTAAATTCTTTGAATACCTCAACATTGTGGGGTTTTTTGTTTGTTTGTTTGTTTGTTTTTACAGTTTTTTGTTCAAATCAGGATGGAGGGTCCACACAATGCATTTGGTGTCTTGCCTCTTAAGTCTTTTGAGGGACTTGGCTTGTTTTGAACAGAAGCGTTTGGTTTCACCTCGTTGTTTGTTTTTCCCTAGACTGGAACCGTCAGAGAGCCTCGAGGAGAACCAGCGGAACCTCCTTCAGATGACGGAGAGGTTCTTCCACGCCATCACCAGCTCCTGCTCCGAGTTCCCCCCTCAGCTTCGCAGTGTGTGCCACTGCCTGTACCAGGTACGCGCAGTCCCAGACCCCCAGCGCTCCTCTGAAGCTCGCGTATTGCTCTTCCCAGGGAGGATTTAGCTGCTGACAGCACGTGGGGGACTGTAATAGTTAATTTGGGTGAATAACATATTAAGCATTGCTGTTGGAGTTGGCTCAGAAGGAAACTTAAATATGGCTTAGGAGACCCTCTGAAGTCCTTTAAAAAACACTTTAAAATGTTAAATTTTTCTTTTGTTGGGAGCAAGCTTGAAATGTAATGTATCTACTGTGTATGATGGATGTGGCTGAAATGAGATATGTTAATGGAATTTGTTGTCATTGTCATCTTTTGCCTAAATTTCTTCTCGACCTTTCGCACGTTAGGAGATAGGCTGTGTGCCCTGCTTTCTGCATGTGAAGTGCTTGCTCTGTGATTTTGGCTTCTTCATTAAAATGTAACGGTTTGTGTCAGGTTTTTCCAGAATAAGACTGATTGCTCTGTTTATTTTATATTGAATGCTACTTTTAAGATATAATGTATCATCATTCAGACCAAATTATTAGACTTTCTAACACTAGCATTGCAAGTAATGCTTTTGAATTCCAGTGCCCATGGTCTGTCGCTTCTGTTGAGGGAATTAGGTCTGTGTTCTTCTGTTGCTTCTCTATTTTTTTGAATTGCATGTGCAGTTTTAGGAATATATACTTGTTCCAAGGGAGATCTTAAAAATTCACAGTAGCCTTTTGTAAACTGTGCTGGAAGAAACGTTAGTGGATCTGGGGTTTGGGACACGGTGTTTATAGGGCAGCCCTTAGACTTTGACCAAGACTCAGGCCTCTGTGTCTCTCTCTGCAGAGTCGCCCCCACCATTTGTCTTTTTAGCACATGGCTTCAGTCGCTTAGAGACTTTGACAGCATCGGTGAATTCACCATTTTAAAAAAGCTGTTTGAGGCTGCTCTGTGTGGATTTTTTCCTCATTGCTATTTTTAAAGATGTGTCTGCCGTGTCTCTAAAAATGTTCTCCACAATCTGCACAGATGATACAGCATACTTAGCATGAAGTCTTAGTATGTCATGGTTTCCCTGCCTTTTCATGAGAGCTCAGGGGTGCTTTGGAAAGCCTGCAATGGTTGATTCAGCTCGTGAAGTCCGAGGCTAGAGGGCGGTTTAGTTACAACATCAAACTTACTACAGTGACTACTACTTTCTTTAAAGCTTGGGCCGTATTTAAGTTTCTCTTTCAACATAATACAGCAGAATTTTTTGTTTTTGAAACTAGGCAGACAGAAAATATCAGCATATATTAAAGATCTTTTGGGACAGTGTCTTGCTTGACCTAATAGTAACTGTTTTCAGAGAGCAAATGGGATTCGAAAATGTCCATGGCTTTGATGTTGGCTGGGTCAAAGTGAAGGGAGACGGTTACGTGGTTACGTGATTACGTGGCCTAGGAGACTTTGAGAAAAATTCTTCATGTGTTTCTTATCCTAAATGAAAAATCATACCATCAGCATAGTTGGAGGTCAGTGTGAGACCATGATTCTGATCATGTAAAAGGAACAGGGTTTGGCACTTAATAAGTACTTAGGAAATATTTAATGATGGAATAAATTCCCTCATCCCTCTCACCCAAGTGAACAGAGTTTTGCCAGCTTTCTTTCTCAGGAAAGGAAAGGAAATTGTGAAAATAGAATCAGGTGATAATTGTTGTGCTTTTTAGAGCACTTCAGAATAAACTATCTTAACAACAGACTTGAACTACTGTATTAAAATTTCACCTAGAATTATTATTCTCTCTAAAAATATTATTTAAGTGTTGTGTCAGGACATTGTTTTAAAGTATTGGGTAAGCTTAACATTTGAGGGTACAGTGTTATGGAACAAAGCTATGCCTATGATGTTTTGTTTTTTAATTCTATTCAGTAATTATAAAGGTAGGGAAAAACCGGTGTGATCTCAAGATATTTTTCCATTGAGTCTCCTTCCTAATTTTCCCCTCTGATTTGCTGTTTTTATTAACCTCTTCTGGCTTTCTCTTGCCCTTTTTATTTGCTCGCCTTTTCTTGCCCTTTTGGCTTTGGCAGTAGCATAATGGCATCTTTGTACTTTTAAGTTCTACTGGGAGGGGTAGTTGTTGATTTTTTTTTTTTCTCTAGTAAACATAGTTCTGCTTTGGAGAACCTCCTGGGAACATTTGGAGAGCTAAATGAGTATATTGCTAGCTAGTAAAATTCTCTGAGCTTTAGCTGTTTTACTTCAGTTCTTATTTGGGGCTTGAAGCCTTTTGGAATTGTGATTTAGCCCGCTGTTAGTTGATGTGCCTCCCTTACTGAGTAGACTGGGAATAACCAACTGTGAGCACGAGTCAGATGTATAATTAATTGATGTTCCCATGTATTTGTTTCCACTTTTCCTTCTGATAGTCTTGGAGTAAAGAGAAAATAATTCCCAGAGAGGATATTCTCTTAGGTTTAGAGTATTCTAAGAAAGAGCTATCATGATTCTAAGTGAATGTCATCTTTTCCCAGTAAATCAGCTTCTGCAAACTGAAGTAGTTTACAAAATGATAGCTGCATAACATAATTGAAAAAATGTATGAAACTGCATTTCTGTGATGTATATGGTTACTATGCTTTTGTATGAATCCTAAAGTTTAAACCAAAGTTCTATGAGATGAGGAACTGTGTTGTTTTGTGTTCCTTCTATCTCCCAGTGGCTGGAATGTAACCTGGCATGTAGGTGCACAGTAACTACTTGGATGAATGGATGGATGGATAGATGGATGGGTGTCAAACTAACTTGAAGCCCAAGTTGTTATGGGTTATGGTGCTGGATGTCCAGAATTCATGGAATAAGTTGCCATGGGTTAAAGAATTCTTACTTGGTTTTAAAAATTTCTGTACTGCCTAGTGTAGTGCAATCATGAGCCTTTTAATTTTGAAGGAATTCTTTGGCCTAGAAGGAGCTCTGATAGATGAAACCAGTATTTCTCCCTGGACTTTGGGGAATTTTTTGAGTGGCTTTTTCTTTTTTGAGATATTCTGATAAATGATCAGCTGTACTATACTATATAAAAGACTTAAGCAGACCTACAGTTTTAGTCTGTCACTTTCTCTGCAGGTGCTTCATTTTCATATCAACTAATGCTGTTTTTCTTGTTGAACTGATAACCTGCTTCTCCCAAATGCTGCAGAGCTTTTAACCTCTGATCAGAACCATTTCAGAAAGTAGCCTGTGACCGTTGAAAAATCTGTGAAATTTAAGTCATCTTTTTTAAAGCGGGAGAGAGATTTTTAGTTCAGAATCTCTAAAGTGTGTGTTCTGTTACATTTAGCTGTTGAATTTTCATCTCATCAGTTGGGTTTTAATTAAATGCCAGATGTTGAAAAAATAACTAAGTCAATTGAAGGATACACAGAGAAGTATTTTACAAATCAAGAAAAAGTTATGGAGACAAAAAATGTTTTTAGCATAGGATCTACTTTTAATGAACATTTTATATGCTATTTATCAAAAGCCAGGACTTAACTAAAATACAAGTAATATATATCCTCAAATTCACTTGGGGAGAGTTTTTCTGCAATTTATAGCCAGAAGTAGTAGACATGATTGGTTCTCAACACTTCTTGCTATTTATTTAGTGCTTGGCTTAAAAATGTAATGAAAATTGAAATCCAGAAATAAATTTCATCCCTCAAAATTCAGTTGATTTCTAATGTTTTGTTGATTCCATTTGTGTTACATTTCAATCGTGTAATTTGATGTACGAGCCAGCGTTGCTGTTGTTGCTGTGTGTAGTCGGTGCTGTGACTTGTTTGTGCTCATCTCTGTTCTGTAGGCAACTTGCCACTCCCTACTGAACAAAGCTACAGTAAAAGAAAAAAAGGAAAACAAAAAATCAGTAAGTTTGGAGAACTTTTTATTAGCTGTTTCTTTCAAAGCCAAACAAAAATCTTTTGCTGTTTGTTAAGAACATCTTCACTTCAGCCTATTTGACCTTCACTGTAAAATCATTCTACTAATTCTGGCACAAAATAGCTTTCATTTCAATTAACCCTGGAATTAAGTTACATTGAAACGTTCTCTGTGTTCCTTTGGTTTGATTTATCCCAAAGGCATTTTGTGGGCATTTGTTGCATTGGATATCCTTGGTCTAATTTTATTATAATCATTTTAAAAATCATAAATGAATGCAAAAAACAAAAACTTAATTTCAAGGCCATAGGAAATGCTGACTTTCTTCATTCTTGCTTCTTGTTTGCAGGTAATATGAGTGGTTTCTTTTCCTAGAGGTGAAAGTTTTTCTTAGTTGTTAAAAGAATGTAGCAGGAAAGTCATTTTCTAAATCATAGCTAAAGGTTGCTAAGTTTTATTTTTATTCCTTATATTTTTATTTAGACATTCTCAGCCAAAATTTAGATGTTTGTACATAGGTCATAGAAAACCCACTGGTAAAACTACTTTTACTTCAGAGAAAAACAATATTAAATTATCAGGATGAGAACATAATGCTTTTGAAATAAAGGAAAACTCAATGAGTCCTGTTTGTAGAGAAACACTTCATTTCACAAACGTGGTATAGATATACTGCCTGCTTCTGTGAACTTTCCTAATTTTAGAGGAAGAGAATTATGATAGTTGTAATTATTTTCTTCCAGTGAATGGAATTTTTTTTTAAAGATTTATTTATTTATTTGAAAGTCAGTTACATGGACAGAAGAAGAAGCAGAGAGAGAGAGAGAGAGAGAGAGAGAGGTCTTCCATTTGTTGGTTCACTCCCCAAATGGCCACAATAGCCGGAGCTGCACCGATCCAAAGCCAGGAGCCTGGATCTTCTTCCAGGTCTCCCATGAGGGTGCAGGGGCCCAAGTGGTTGGGCCATCTTCCACTGCTTTCTCAGGCCATAGCAGAGAGCCGGATCGAGGTGGAGCAGCTTGAACTCGAACCAGCGCCCATATAGGATGCAGGCACTACAGGTAGCGGCTTTACCCGCTACACCACAGCGCTGGCCCCAGAGTGAATGGAATTTGCCTAAAACATCATATGCATTCATTTTAAGTTTGCCATTATCTGTCAGTGTGACTTATCCTTATGAGGCTGAGTACTGTCTTGTTCATATCATCCAAATGATTATAGAGGAAAATTAAACCTTTATGAGTTGAGTAAATAATTTTCTTTAAAAGGTGTAATTTAGAATATAATGTTCATCTGGTTTCATCTTTTGTTCCTTGTCTAAGCTTTATTTGTAATAAAGCCTCACATATAAATTTGTTTCAAGTTCAGAATTAAAATTTAGAGACATTTACTTTTATGTTCTTTCAGAATTTCCTTTTTGAGTAGTTAAGTGAATTTGGTCAGCTGTGAGCAAATGAATTGGATTGGATGGCCTTTTTGCTTAATAAAATATTTCTTTCTAATGCTTCAGCCTTCTAATTCTCAGTGTATGTGGGTTTGTCATAACATACACTATCACTTTTGAAATTAATTTACCGTTCCTAATACTCTGTGCAGTGTTCTACTAATGCCATTGTGTGTAGTGTGTCACATAAATTAAAATGCAGGCTCTCTGTCTTCCTCTAGAGCATGTGTTCTAGCCTCCCTAATATTGCTGTATTGATTAAGATTTTCGTCTAAAATTGTTCCTTGAAATGTGTTTTTTTTTTCCTATTACTTATTTTCAGATTTTTTTGCTTTAAGCTTCTGGGTAACACTGAGTTTCAGAATGTATTTCTCAGCACAGATGATGTGAGGTCCTCACGGAAACAAGGGAGTCTGATTGGTAATCCGAGATCTACTTCAGAGCGTATTCTGAAGTATGAAGACAGTATAGTCGCTGGGAAGTAAAATGTCATTTTATGCAGTTACTTGCTTGATGGTGTCTAATGATCTTTTAAGAGCAAGCTGATTTTCTTTTGGAGTATGTAGATCATGGATTTGAATCTAAAATGCAGAGAAAAGGATCTGACTTCTGGTAGTATAGCTGTATGGTCATACTACAGCTATCGATCGAAGAATTCGAAAGAACTTTGGAAGTTAATTGCCTGCATAACTCTGAGAGAATTTTCAGTAATAGTTGGTGATGCTCTTGCTGGTTTATAGATGCATTTATTTGCATTTTGTAGTCAGCTTTTACCAAGGAGGCAAAGAAGACATTGGCTGATAACTGAATTCAACACAGAGACTGGTTCAACTTTGACCTTTTATAAGGAGTATTTTTGCGGATCCAAGTTAGGTTTTTACATAAAAAAAAGCACCATTTGGGTGTGTTCATGAAATAAAATTACATTTATGTTAACTAGTGGTGAAAGAAAAAGCTGTCCTTTTATAAATTGACTCATGAAACTTGTTATGTAGTATTTTAATTGATACTGATTATGTAGTATATCAGATTTTATTTCCAAAAACGCATTTGTAATACCACTCGTTAGATGCATATTTATGTGAAACATGAAACAGCATTTGTTCCTGAGGTGTGGATACTTTGGATTTTGACATGAATTCTTTTTGGAGACAAAGAAGATGGTAAAAATGTAGTACTTTCTATAAATTTTTTAATAGTACCCTTCTGGGAAATAATTCACTCAGATTTTCATTCAATTCTGAGAGTGATTATCATTAAGTATAAATTAGGCATGAATTGAAGTCACGCTTTAAAACATCTTTGTCCTAGGAAAAACTAGAAGACGGCTGCACTTGTGTATTAAAATTATTGATTTTTATGAGACATTTTTACAGAAGATTAGTATTTTATAAACTGGTTCTTTGAGAATCAAATTATGGCTTTTAACTTTATTTTTAATTTTTTGTTTAGATTTATTTATTTATTTGGAAGGCAGAGTCACAAAAAGGCAGAGGCAGAGAGAGAGGTCTTCCATCCGCTGGTTCACTCCCCAAATGGCTGCAGCACTGGAGCTGAGCTGATCCCAAGCCAGGAGCCAGGAGCTTCCTCCAGGTCTTCCATGAGGGTGCAGGGGCCCAAGGACTTGGGCCATCTTCCACTGCTTTCCCAGGCCACAGCAGAGAGTTGGATCGGAAGTGGAACAGCCGAGACTTGAACTGGCGCCCACATGGGAAGTGGGTACTGCAGCTGGCGGCTTTATTTGCCATGCCACAGCGCCAGCCCCGGCTTTTAACTTAAAAAAAAAAAAAAAAATCCATTTCAGGATTTTGATGGGTTAAATTGAATATATGCTAACTCGTTTTAAACAAACTATTTAAAATTGAATTTAAAGCAGTTTTTAGTCCTCTTCCCTCTCAGAAGTTTACTGTCTTTAAATGCTTTAAGATCTTGAATGTTTGTTGATGTTTCATCTGTTTTAAGATTAAAATTAGCGAATTCTAAAGAACCACTGGGTAGTTACGGTGATTTATGAACATTCTGAAATTTGTTTGCATTCATGCATTCATTTTTCTGACTTTTATCAGCTTTCAAAGAGTTACCTTTATTTGTTACCAAAAGGTTAAAAACACACTATTGGGATAGTAAAAGTACTTGAATTTTCTGAATTCTATTTCTAAAATTGTATCTCAGCTAAATATAAGCTGTGCTTAGGTTTTAGAGCCATTCTGCTAAGACAGCGGTAGTTAGCTCCTTTCACCAGGCTCTCCATGTTTTAGGGACCCCAGTGGCAGAGAGGAAGTGAAGGTGACAGTACATTCATTACAGCTTACCTCTTGGATTTGCTTCAGTGCAAAAGTTTGTTCTCTAAAATCTTAAAGACTTTTTTTATACTCTTTACATTATAGCCAGTAGATAAGAACACAAAATTAAAATGTGGCTCACAGAAAGCACTAAATGGATTAAATGACAAGAAAGAATCCTTGTTCTTTCTAAAGTTAATCTGGAGTCAGTGAGCCATGTGTAATTCATGACAGGTGTTACTGTACTCAAGGCATTGTGAGGAAAAATATCTGCAGAGATTCTTTCCTCCTGCTTGCCTCAGTACTCTCTGAAATGCAGAACCCCACAATATTGAGGTTCAGAGTGCTCCAACTTTACTTTTGTAGTCATCCTTGTTTTCAACAGCAGTCAGCCATATCAGGCACAAATGGTTGTAGAGATTAAAATGTTTCATATGTGTTCTTTGACAATGCATTTATGTGTGTTGTATAAACATGTAAATTTCAGAATACAATTTTCAGAAGTGAAATTGACTTAAAACAGGCCCCTGGGAAGAAATGGGAGTTCAGCCAGTTTCAGAACACTTTTCTGTATCTCACAGACCTATTACTGTATCTTCAGTGTCTAATGTTTTATAAAGAGAAAAAAAAATCCACTTAAATGCTAGGTTCATCTTGCTTTTCAGAATGGGCAGTCCTTTCTTAAGCCTTAAGTTTTTATTTGAGAGATAATGATCTGAGGCAGACTCAGGGGTTCTCTCTTCTGGTGGGGATCCTTTTTTTTCTTTTAGGTTTCCAAGAATTGCTATTCCCCTGTGGTTTATATGATATGTAGGTCCTTATATCAGGAACCATGCTGGTGAAGATAAAGGACTGGTATTAATGTTACTTGGAATATGTTTTTTTTTTTCCCTTTCAGTAAGAATCTAAGAAATTTTGTCTTCTACATGGGAAACATTTTTCTCAAGGAAATCAGTTGTACATGGTACACACCAAAATGCAAATATTTATTATTTAGATGTAGGGTGTTCCAGGGGGGTGTGTTTGAAAACTTAGCTTCATCTTCTATAAGTTTGATCACACTTTCACGTCTATTACTATTAGTGAAGTTAGATCCTCTTTGTGGGAAATTTGAAATTTGAATTGCTTTTGTCACTCATCACACTTGCAGTGCAAATGATGCTAATAAAGATCTTTCCTCAGGCTCTGCTACCCAACTTATCCGTGAGGCTTTTCTTTCCTCTGAGATACCTCAGTTGTGCTTTAAAATCATGTGAGATTAGAGTTGAGGGTAAACTTTATTTTCTGAAATTTGGGGAGAAGAAAAAAAATAGAAACATGCATGAGGATTGATGGATTCAGAGTTTTTGTGCAGTTTGACCTTCAAGCTCTTTGTTCCATTTCCTTATTTTACTTCAAACCTCATGCTCAATTCTCTACTCCTTGTTTTTAGGTGGTTAGCCAGCGTTTTCCTCAGAACAGCATCGGTGCAGTAGGAAGTGCCATGTTCCTCAGATTTATCAATCCTGCCATTGTCTCACCGTATGAAGCAGGCATTTTAGATAAAAAGCCACCACCTAGAATCGAAAGGGGCTTGAAGTTAATGTCAAAGGTGAATCGTTTGAAATCATCTAGCTATCTTAACATTTCCTTCTGACTACTTTTTCAGTTTGTGAAAGCACTGTAGTGCTTCTCTTCAATTTATTTTCAAATGTCTATGGTTTTAAATTATGTGCTTTTGTTTTATTTTGTTTCTGTTACAAAGGAATTCATAAGATGGATACCTGCAGGGCTTTATTATCATGGGAACATATTTTAGCAAATATCTACTGAATATTTTCTGTGTAATCATTCTGGGAATTTTGAAATGGAGACTGAAATGTTGGCATTAGGACCTTTTAATTTCAAAAAGATATTTAAAAATTTATTTTATGTGTGTATATTTTACATGTACATATCATTATGTTTCTATTTGAGAATAATAGAAAAAACATCTAGAATAATTTATAGAATGAAGAATAATTGATTTTAACTTCCAATACAAAGTATGTCAATGAGGGAATTGATATTTTTAAAAGAATGTAGTAATGTATAGAGTTTATACAGTAATTAATGATTATTTATAACCTGCTTTGATCGTTTAGATACTTCAGAGTATTGCCAATCATGTTCTCTTCACAAAAGAGGAGCATATGAGGCCTTTTAATGATTTTGTGAAAAGCAACTTTGATGCAGCTCGAAGGTAAGCACCTGCCTTTTTCTCACTTGCCCTGTCTGAATCCAGGCTTTCCTGTTCTCACTTAAGTCCTAGTACCCTCTGTTCACAAAGTGCCTGTGTAGCCTTTTTTTCCTTTTCCCTCTCCAGGTCAAGAAAATAGTTTTTGTCTTATTTTAGTATAAAAGATGTCATGACATAAATCTATATTTTGTACAGTTTGGTGGTAATTTCCATATTTGAATACCAAGAGGAATTTTTTACATATTCACTAAAACAAAGGATGTAAGGTAACTATAATAAGGGGGCACAGAAGATTCCTTTTATAAAAAACCATAGCCAGCATGAGGATATTTGGCCTCAGCCGGAGTAGGGAGCATCTGGCTCCCAGGCCATAGGATTCCGTGAAATCATGTGTCTGGCCCTGTCATGGCCACTACAGACGGGACTCACAATTCAGTACATCTACAGCAGGCTACTTCTTTTTTCTTAAAGATTTTATTTATTTATTTATTTATTTGAGAGAGTTACAGACAGTGAAAGGGAGAGACAGAGAGAAAGGTCTTCCATCTGTTGGTTCGCTCCCCAAATGGCCTCAACAGCTGGAGCTGAGAAAATCCGAAGCCAGGAGCCAGGAGCTTCCGCTAGGTCTCCCACACAGGTGCGTGGTTCAAAGCACTTGGGCCATCTTCCACTGCTTTTCCAGGCCATAGCAGAGAGCTGAATTGGAAGAGGAGCAGCTGGGACTAAGAACCATCGCCCATAAGGGATGTTGGTGCCGTGGGCAGAGGATTAACACAGTGCTGGCCCCCAGCAGCCTAATGTTTAAGTTGGTAATTTTGTAGAGCCTACAAATAACATCATAAATATCCAAATGCCCTTTGGCAGAAAAACGTTTCTGCACCCCTGGCCTTGGTGTTAGGATGCCTGTGTCTGTCCCTCAATTGGAGTGCCTGTGTTTGAAACCTGGCTCCAGCTCCCGACTCCAGCCTTCTGCTAATACAGACTGGGAGGCTGTGGTGATGGTGGAAGTGATTGAGTTTCTGCCATTTCTGTGGGAGACCTGGATTGAGTGCCTGTCTCTTGGCTTCAGGTGCTGGCCCAGCTCACAACCATTGTGGGCATTTGGGGCATGAACCAGTGGATGGAATCTCTGTCTCTGTCTCTCTCTCTCTCTGCCTCTCAAAAAAATAAATAAATAAAAACTTGTATTGATAATGTATAATATTGTTTAATTGGTGTTTTTTTTAAAAAGATTGATTTATTTGAAAAGCAGAGTTACACAGAGGCAGAGAAAAAGAGAGAGAGAGAGAGAGAGAGAGAGAGAGAGAGAGAGAGGTAGGTGTTCCATCTGATGGTTCACTCCCCAGATGGCTACAGTGGCCAGAGCTGGGCCAATCGAAAGCCAGGAGCCAGGAGCTTCTTCCAGGTCTCCCACGAGGATGCAGGGGCCCAAGGCTAGGGCCATTTTCTACTTCTTTCCCAGGCCATAGCAGAGAGCTGGATTGAAAATGTAGTGGCTAGGTCTTGAATAGGCGCCCATATGGGATGCTGGCACTGCAGGCGGTGGCTTTACCTGCTTCGCCACAGCGCCGGCTGCAATTGGTGTTTTTTAATATTAAAATATTTTTGATAATTCTACTTTAGAAGTATATGTGAATTAAAAGGTTGCTCTTTAACCAAGTAATACAAATGTGTAAGATTTTATTCAAGAATAACTGAACAACTCTTGAGATTTAATGATTTTAGAAAACTTCCCTGAATTTCCATAGCTGATTAGTTATTTGACCATATTTCTGAATTTACCAGTACAAATAGTACCACGTATGTTTGCTTCAGTTGTTTTCAGAGAAGCAAACGAGATAATTCACAAGGAAGTACCTTGTAGATGTGAAGTGTCCAGAGTTCAACTTTTTACACAGTATGAATCTAATTGATCTTACCTGTAGTTTAGCCTTGTACAGCTCTCTCTTCCGTTTTATCATCATAGTTGTTAATCCCTTCTGTTAGGGAACTTAGTGTTTAGATGGTAGATTGCTGCAGTGTAAGCCATATTGGAGAGAGGGTGAAGGTCAGCAAGGATTCAGATTCTAGCAGACTACCAACTCACAGAACCTCAGGGAAACGCAGTTCTTTTTTTTTTTTTAATTTATTTGAGAGGTAGAGTTACAGGCAGTGAGAGGGAGAGACAGAGGGAAAAGTCTTCCTTCCATTGGTTCACCCCCAAGATGTCCAAAATGACTGGAGCTGTGCCGATCTGAAGCCAGGAACCAGGTGTCTCTTCCTGGTCTCCCACGCGGATACGGGGGCCCAAGCACTTGGGCCATCTTCTACTGCTTTCCCAAGCCACAGCAGAGAGCTGGATTGGAAGAGGGGCAGCTCGGACTAGAACCAGCACCCATCTGGGATGCCAGCGCCACAGGCGGAGGATTAACCCACTGATTAATTAACCTACTGCACCATGGCACCGGCCCCAGAACCACAGTTCTGATCAGGTCTCTGATCTAATAGGCTGTGTAGCTTTAGGGAGGTTTTTATCTTGTCTGGGCTTCAATTTCATCATTTGTAAAATATTAACTTTTCTCAACCATGTATTCGTGGTTTTCTGACTTAAGATCCTACCCTGAAGGTAAAGTCAGATCCCAGAAATGGAATTCCAACTTTGTCCTGGTCCTTCTTGCTTTGGTTGCCGGTAATCATGCTGTGTGAATGAGCCCTCCATCTTTGTTATCTCAGTTACTTCACACTGTGCACTTCATATAAATTTAACTATGAGTGTATCTGATGTAGAAAATTCTAATGGCTTTGCATTTTTGAAGGTTTTTCCTTGATATAGCGTCAGATTGCCCTACAAGTGATGCAGTAAATCATAGTCTTTCCTTCATCAGTGATGGCAATGTGCTTGCTTTACATCGTCTTCTTTGGAACAATCAAGAGAAAATTGGCCAGTATCTTTCCAGCAATAGGTAAGTCTTCCCAGTCAAGGGGAAACTGAACGCTCTATGTTTAGATCTATGTTAATAAGACATGAATAGTGATTTTTTTACTTTGTGTCTTCTTGGAGTAAGAATTATGGTATGGAAAGAGAAATGAAGACTTTTTCAAAAAGTTAAGTTGTGTCAGCTCATGAACAGGCCTACTTCAGGGCTGTTGATTTTGTTTTCCAAATTAAAGTTTCTTGTGCCATAGGTTACTTGCTGCCCTTTCTAGTTATGCAGATGTGTGAAGGATCCAGATTCTTATGTATGATGAGTTCCGTTACGGGCAAAGTTGAAGTGAGTTCCAGACTTTGTGTTTTGTTTTGTTTTGTTTTGTTTTGTTTTGTTTTGTTTTGTTTTGTTTTGTTTTGTTTTGTTTTTGACAGGCAGAGTTAGTGAAAGAGAGAGAGAGAGAAAGGTCTTCCTTCCATTGGTTCACCCCCAAAATGGCTGCTACGGCCAGCGTGCTGCGCCGATCCGAAGCCAGGAGCCAAGTGCTTCCTCCTGGTCTCCCATGTGGGTGCAGGGCCCAAGGACCTGGGCCATCCTCCACTGCCTTCCTGGGCCACAGCAGAGAGCTGGACTGGAAGAGGAGCAGCCAGGACTAGAACCGGCACCCAAGGTGTGCCTTAACAAGAAGCTGGACTTGAACCCAGCACTCAGATATGGGATGCAGGTGTCCCAAGTAGTGACTTAACCTGCTGCATCACAATATCTGCCCCTAGATTTTTTTAAATACCATTAAAAATGGTTTGCTCATTCACAACATAGGCAGGAGACCATGAAGCCAAAGCTAAACAGTTCCAATATTGATGTCTAAAAGAGAGGGCATTTATTATTATTATTATTATTTTTATTATTATTATTATTATTATTATTGACAGGCAGAGTGGATAGTGAGAGAGAGAGACAGAGAGAAAGGTCTTCCTTTGCCATTGGTTCACCCTCCAATGGCTGCCATGGCTGGCGTGCTGCGGCTGGCGCACCGCGCTGATCCGATGGCAGGAGCCAGGTGCTTTTCCTGGTCTCCCATGGGGTGCAGGGCCCAAGCACCTGGGCCATCCTCCACTGCCTTCCCGGGCCACAGCAGAGAGCTGGCCTGGAAGAGGGGCAACCGGGAAAGAACCCAGCGCCCCGACCGGGACTAGAACCCGGTGTGCTGGCGCCGCTAGGTGGATGATTAGCCTATTGAGCCACGGCGCCGACCTATTTTATTTTATTTTTTTGACAGGCAGAGTTAGACAGAGAGAGAGAGAGAGAGAGAGAGAAAGGTCTTCCTTCCATTGGTTCACCCCCCAAATGGCCGGCGTGCTGCGCCGATCCGAAGCTAGGAGCCAGGTGCTTCCTCCTGTTCTCCCATGTGGGTGCAGGGCCCAAGCACTTGGACCATCCTCAACTGCCCTCCCAGGCCACAGCAGAGAGCTGGACTGCAAGAAGAGCATCTGGGACAGAACCGGCGCCCCAACTGGGACTAGAACCTGGAATGCCGGCACCGCAGGCAGAGGATTAGCCTAGTGAGCTGTGGCGCCAGCCAGAGAGGGCATTTTAATCCTTTATGTTTTGTTAAGGAATTCAGGAAGGCTGGGCATAACTGATGCATGTCTGTGTAGCTGTGTGACAACAAAGTAAACTATGGATCTTTTATGTGAACATTTTCTTTTATGTAATGTACATATATATTCACAGATTAATCTAGAGAAATTTTTTAAATTTTGTTGTTTAAAAATTAAGCACATTTCAGAGGTAGGTAAGCATTTTGCCTAACTTTTAAGGCACCTGCATTTAAGACACGTTGGGTTGCATTGCTGGCTCCAACTTCCTGCTCATGCAGACTCTGGCAGGCAGCAGTGGTGCTCAGGTATTTGGGTTCCTGCCACACACCTGGAGACCTGTTCGCATTCTTGGTTTTTCATTTGGTCTAGCCCTCAGCGGTTGAACACATCTGGGGAGTGAACCTGCGGATAGGAGCATAGTATCTGTCTGTCTCTCCTTATCACATAAGTAAAAGTTTTTTTAAAATATATTTAAATCATAGCAAAAGGTTTAGATAGTAATATGAGATCCTTGTCAGCTGCCTAGCTTTAACATTATTTTGCTGTGTTAATTTGGGACTTTGTAACATTTTATTTCTTGGGGTTTCCTCTTGACAATCCCCTTCCTATACTACTCTCTCTAGAGATATATCTACTTTAAAGTTGTTTGATATGCTTCTAGCTTTGTTTTTATAGTGTTCTACTCATATATGTTACTAACAACATAAGGAAATTATAGAAATATACAAAACGGTATTGATTTATTTACTTATTTGAAAGTCAGAGTTACAGAGAGAGAGAGAGAAGGAAAGTCAGAGAGAATGGTCTTCCATCTGCTGGTTCACTCCCCAATTGGCCGCAACGGCTGGAGCTGCACCTATCCAAAGCCAGGAGCTTCCTCCAGGTCTTCCCATGCAGGTGCAGGCATGCCAGGCCATAGCAGAGAGCAGGATCGAAGTGGAGCAGCCGGGACTCAAACCGTCACCCATATATGATGCTGACCCTGCAGGCGGCAGCTTACCCACTATGCCACAGTGCCGGCCCTGAGATTTATCTTTTATTTGACTTACATTAGTATTTCATTGAATGACTGTCACAGCTTATTTTGATGGATGATTCGGTTTGCTTTCAGCAATAAATACCTTCTTGTTCATCTCCTGTATTACCTGAAGTGTGTAATTGCCAGTTTGCAGTGTAGCCCAGCCTCAACTTTTTTTTTTTTTTCATTTTCGATTCTCTTTATATACAGAAGATCAGTTTAGCATACATTAAGTAAAGATATCAACAGTTTGCTCCCACACAAACATAAAGTGAAAAATAATAGATGATTTTTTTTAAATGATGATGAAATCAGATCAGATCTATTGTCATGTTTAATCCCAGTGAGAGTCAAGTTGGGAATTGATCATTTCTTCTTTTTTTTTTTTTTACAGAAGATCAGTTTAGTATACATTAAGTAAAGATTTCAACAGTTTGCACCCCCATAGAAACACAAAGCGAAATATACTGTTTGAGTACTCATTATAGCATTAAGTCTCAATGTACAGCACATTAAGGACAGAGATCCTACATGAGGAGTAAGTGCACAGTGACTCCTGTTGTTGACTTTACAAATTGACACTCCTGTTTATGGCATCAGTAATCTCCCTATGCACCAGTCATGAGTTTCCAAGGCTATGGAAGCCTTTTGAGCAGTGATCCGTTTTCTTTAATACCAGTTTGTCTAGATGGATTCTTACTACCCTGAGAGAAAGTGAATTAGAATGTTACTTTCACTTATTGATCGATTGACCATTAAATGGGAACAAATTATGAACTCGAGAAAAAGCTGAATTTTTGCAGTTTGGGAAATGTTCATTTCTAAGATCTTTCAGTGTACATTTATAATCAGGTCTTTCTGTGCTGTTTACAAATTAGCAGGGACCACCAGCTGGCAGTAAAGAAAAATCAACCAGTGACAGTTCTAAAGAAATCTGCCTGTTAAGTGTGAATTTGCACCTTTTTTCTAAGTGGTTTGCTGTGTCTAGGGATCATAAAGCTGTTGGAAGACGACCTTTTGATAAAATGGCAACCCTGCTCGCATACCTGGGCCCTCCAGAGCACAAGCCTGTGGCAGACACGCACTGGTCCAGCCTTAACCTCACCAGCTCCAAGTTTGAGGAATTTATGACAAGGTAAAGTACAATCTTGAAATGATGATTGCTTTCCTTTCGGTTCAGAAGCAAAGTTTGTCGCCAGGCACTTGTTGAGTATGCTTATAATATTGGAGATTGTCAGAAGAGATGTACCTAATAACCATCCCTTGGCCACGTTTTGAGATCCAGCTTTTTTCCTATCCTTTCTGTGGGGATTTTCAAAAGTTCGTGTAAAATGCACATTATTTTTTAAAAATTTTGTGTTTCCATGAATTTTTCAAGTGCTATGGCCTAATACCCTCAGAAAGTTTAAAAGAATGAAATTAAATAATAAGTTTATTTTTGTGCAAAAAGATCTGAAATCTGTGGATAGGTTTTGATTACTACACATCTCTCATGAGTGTTTTGAAGGCTCCTTCATGTCTGTTGTTTTGTGTGTTGATTTTCTTAGAAAAATGATAGTGTCTTACTGACACAAACTTTGTCATCTTGCTTTGATGTGTTTTTGCATTTAATACTTAAAGGGATGTGTAGGCATTATTATTTTCATATTATAAAAAATAACTCAATATGACTAACTGGTTTGCCTAAGACTCCCAACCAAGTCATAAGCTTTTTGGTTTTAGGTGTTAGATTCTAAATTACCATGCTATATATTTTTCAGAATCATCCTTAACTTTTAAGTTAATGAGTTTAACTTTTTAAAATTAAAGTTCAGAAAATATACTTCAGTGTTGCTATAAAATTTTTGTGGACATTTTCTTTGACTCCCAGAGGAATTTCACTTGTGAACTAAAAGATCCTCCTTGTTAGATTGTGTATGCGGTTTTGTTGAATCCTTTAGGTTTTAAAGTGTCTTTCTCAGTACTCTGCACTTAGCAGATATACCTAGTGGTCATGGGTTAAGTGTTTTGTTCACAGTATATGCCAAAAGCAGAACGAAAATACAGAATCTGGCATTCAGGAGTTAATTCACATGAAAGATTTGCTTGTAATATGTCTTGCATTGTAAGTGCCTATTATTGTACTAATCATGTTACACGTGGATCACAGTTTTGTACATGTCTCTAATTCACTGATGATGTTAAAAGAATATGTGAATATGTAAGAGAAGAATATAAGAATGTATAAATATATAATTTTTTCATCTTGTTTTTCTTTTTAGCTCTTAAATTTTTCTGTATAATAAACATTCAGTCTTGTGTGATTAAAGGAGTGTTTTCCATGTGAAATTTTCATATTACTATGTGAAAATTACATAGTACAAAAGTGTCAAACTTTTTAATTCAACATTACTAAGAACATCTCAGCCAGTATTCCATTTTTCTGAGAAAATCACTTTGTTACTGCCTGTTACCCAAGACCCGGCTCCTTTGCAAAGCAGTCTTCTGTGCTTCTGAACAGTCTAATCCATGCACTGCATGTAGACGAATATGTAGTACATGTAAAGTGTTCAGTAAATATTTCAAGTTATTCTGGTTCTCTTCTGAATTCCCACTGATGCTCTGAGACCCATATTTATTTGAAGAAAATGAAGGTCACATTGTAATTTTGTCAAATTAAAAACCCGCCTATCAAACTATGGAAAATATGTAAATACAAAGTAGAAAGTAAAACCAAATTTTGCTGTCCCACCTCTTGAAATAATTTAGTTAACATTTGGTAGATAACCTCTCCATAACTTATCAATCTGTACACATATCTGTTTCCCGTATCAAATGATCTGTAGATTGTTCTCATGACTGTTAAACAAACGCTAGTCAGGTATCAACAACATGTTAGACTGAGCTAACACAAACTATTCCCTAAAATGCAAGACACATGGAAATACCTGGTAAAACAAAATGTATACACATAGATCATCATTAATCCAAAAACCTGGAAGCTGAAATGCTCTAAAATTCAAAATTTGTTGACATGATGGCACAAATTCCATACCTGACTTTACATGACAGTTTGCAGCTAAAATCCAGGTGCACTAAATGTATTATATAAAATTACCTCCAGGCTCTGTGTGTAAGGTCTATCTAAAACATGAGTTTCAGATTTGGACTTCAGTTTTATTCTAAGATATTTCATTATGTAGATGCAAGTATTCCCAAAGCTGGAAAAATCTAGAATCCAAAACACTTCTAGTCTCAAGCATTTCAGATAAGGAATATTCAACCTGTATAAAAAATAAAATATTTTTAAAATACATCATTGGAGGATATTTTGTTTTTTCTTTTCTTTCTTTTTGTTTTTTGTTTTTTTGACAGGCAGAGTGGACAGTGAGAGAGAGACAGAGAGAAAGGTCTTCCTTTTGCCGTTGGTTCACCCTCCAATGGCTGCCGCGGCTGGCGCACTGCGGCCAGCGCACCGCGCTGATCCGAAGGCAGGAGCCAGGTGCTTCTCCTGGTCTCCCATGGGGTGCAGGGCCCAAGGACTTGGGCCATCCTCCACTGCACTCCCGGGCCACAGCAGAGAGCTGGCCTGGAAGAGGGGCAACCGGGACAGAATCCGGTGCCCCAACCGGGACTAGAACCCAGTGTGACGGTGCCGCAAGGTGGAGGATTAGCCTAGTGAGCCACGGCGCCAGCCAGGATATTTTCTGAATAAATTACCAGTAATGTTAGTACAGAGAGATGAAGAAATGGGAAGTGTGAGAGAAGATAACAAAAGATAGAGGGAGAAGGTCCAGCATCTGTCTATAGACGTGGCAGAAATCAAGCTTAATATGAGAGTAGGGAGGAGGTCAGATCTGGGGAGAGAATGGATGAGAATTTCCCAGGGTTGGTGAATGACATGAATCCTGAGATTAAAGAAGCACTCTGAGTTTTAGACAGAATATATTTAAGAATTAACCCATGCTTTTTCATAAATATCTTTCAGTAAATATAGGAATTTAATGTACAATAAAAGAATAGTATTCAAAATCAGGGAAATTAAAATGGACTTTCAGTAAACGATGTTGATACCAACAACTGAGTAACCACCTAGAAAAATCTGTTTATATCATTCAAGAGGGTAAATGCCCCTGAATCAAAGAAAATATTGGCAAAGGAAGACTATCTCATCCATTCAAAATCCATAAACCGGTAAAGAAAAAGCTTGCTAAACTGAACTCATAAAAAATAAATAGAGTTTCACAAACTTGTACCTGGAATAAAAAAAAGTGAGCAAAAACAGTCCTATGGCTAATATCCCTGTCCGATAGTTTCCTCAGCATAGTCCTAAAAGTAGTTTTGTGATTCAGAGAGTAGCATCTTGAAATTTTTGGTGCCTGTTGCCAAATTGCTCTTTAGAACAGTGGTTACTTTTTAAATATTTTGTCATTTTAAAAAAATATTTTGTCCTTGACGCAATCATAGGTTTTCATAAATTCTTAGTGCACAGTGTAAAGCCTCTGAGTTACTCTTTTATCTTTTAGGCATCAGGTACATGAGAAAGAAGAGTTCAAGGCTTTGAAAACATTAAGTATTTTCTACCAAGCTGGGACTTCCAAAGCTGGGAATCCTATTTTTTATTATGTTGCACGGAGGTAAGAAATGCTATGCTTCAGTGTCTCTTAACAGAGTTTTAAAAATAATAACAACTAGTTTCACTTTTCCAATTTGATTTAGAAATTGAAAAGTTCACCTAGAGTGTATAACTGCGTGAACATCCTTCTCCTCCTAAATGATGCCTGTATGTTAAGAATTATTTCTCAGGCCACTTCTTTCCTGTTGGCCTTTCTGTCCTACATCAGGTTTAAAAAATAACCTACCATGGGTTAATTAATTCCTGAGCGAAAACTCAAGAAGCATCTTTGTTTTCAGATATATTTATATATTATTTTCATATATTTATATATTATTATATATATTTATGTATTATTGTTTTCAGATAAATATATTATTCAGGTATTAAATAATACCTACCACTTGATGATCAGAAACTTTTTTTAAAGAAGAAATAAAACGCTAAGTGCCTATTTCTGAGAACTTTGGTAATGTGCTGTGTAAGGCTGTATTAGGGAATTAGAAATTAATTCAGAGGAGCTGTGGGAATTATCTGCCTAAACAACACAAGGGACAGCTGAAAAAATGGGTTTGTTGGTGTGTTCCTCAGTCACGAGCTACTCCAGAGGACCTTCTGGAGATGCTGGGAGCTCCTCCTTAGTGACGGGGATGGTGCTTGCATTGTCCTCCATGCCACTGTCTTTCTTGCTTCATTATGCCTTTGAGAACTCATGTATGACATTATTTGGTCATTTTTACTACTTCCCCTCTGGTACATTATAAATTGACAGGCAACTGAACCTTAGAGACAATGTGACATATCAGAGAGACCACTTACCACTGAAGACTCTGTTTAGTCTGCGTTCTGCTGTACTTTAGGCCTAGTCTTTCTGATTTTCCTGAATTTAACACAAATCTAGGAATTACGTCAGTGGCCTTAATAGTCACAGGTGTCAGCAATTGGCAATGTGTAGGAAACCAATCAAGGTTGAGAAACAGTGGGAGAGGGTTGAAGGAAGAAAGGTAGGAGATGGGAAACTTGTTTAATCAGATGCTTCAGATAGCAAGACCAAGATGTCCAAAGAACTGGGGGATTAGGGAACCGAGGGAGCATAGAAGATGCCTTTGTCCTTGCACCTCATCTTCAACTACTCTGAGTGGCTTCCTTCCTTCCCTCGAGTCCTCCCTTCAGCTGGCTTCTCAGTTGCCAGTTCTAAATGGCCCAAAATCATTTTTTTATTTTGCTCTTGAGCTGAACCACACTTGTTTCAACTCCAGACTTTAATATAACTAGAATATTTTGACTTTCTTTATTTTGTCCAAATAAATGTAAAACAGACATTGCTAAGAGAGGTCACTAGATGTGTGCCATCCCACTGCCTTCTCTTTAAATTCTTGTTAGCTTACAAGGAGCAGCATGTCAAAGCTGGTTGTTTTTCCTGCAACCAACAACTGTAAGTGTGTGTTCCTTCTTTGTACTGATCTGGAAATGGATAAGGCAGGCAGACTGCCAGCTTGCAGACCCTGTCAGTGGGAACCTGCCAGTGAGGTTTCCACAAAACCTGTGCAGGGCGAGGCATGAGAATGCTAGGGGTCCCCAGCTCTGCTGCTCAGTGGCCGACAAATTCCTCTTCTGAACCTGTTTCTTCATGTGTTAAAAATACAAACTGTCTACTTCTCCTGTATACTCTTCTGTGGCAATTAAAGTTGTGTAGAGATTATTTGAGGTTTTCTTTTGTGTTGTCTTTTTTTTTTATCTTTTATTTAATGAATATAAATTTCAAAGTACGACTCATGGGTTACAATGGCTTCCCCCCCATACCGTCCCTCCCACCCGCAACCCTCCCCTTTCCCACTCCCTCTCCCCTTCCATTCACATCAAGATTCATTTTCGATTATCTTAATATACAGAAGATCAGCTTAGTATACCTTAAGTAAGGATTTCAACAGTTTGCTCCCACACAGAAATATAAAGTGAAAAATAATAGATGATTTTTTTTAAATGATGATGAAATCAGATCAGACCTATTGTCATGTTTAATCCCAGTGAGAGTCAAGTTGGGAATTGATAATTTCTTTCTTTTTTTTTTTTTTTTTACAGAAGATCAGTTTAGTGTACATTAAGTAAAGATTTCAACAGTTTGCACCCCCATAGAAACACAAAGTGAAATATACTGTTTGAGTACTCGTTATAGCATTAAGCCTCAGTGTACAGCACATTAAGGACAGAGATCCTACATGAGGAGTAAGTGCACAGTGACTCCTGTTGTTGACTTTACAAATTGACACTCCTGTTTATGGCATCAGTAATCTCCCTATGCACCAGTCATGAGTTTCCAAGTGTTGTCTTTTTTGTTGTTGTTGTTAAATGACCCTGCCAATTTCAGCTTTTTAATCCTTTTAGTTTGTTACTTAAACCAGCTAGAGCCCCTTCTGGCCTTGCTTTTCACCTGACGTGATTCCCTACCTCCAGGATGAATGAGGGCACAGCAGCTCTGAACAGAAGCCAGCCCAGTTTCCTAGTTGTGGAAATCCAGGAGTTGGTCAGGGCCTCGCTTCTGTGCAGCCCACTTTGTCAAGGAGCACTTTATATGACATTTCCACTGATGTCCTGTGTGCCATGGCTTAGGTAATATTTTTGAATTATGGATTCCGGTCTCCTTACAGATTTCTGACTCAAAGCGTCCAGCAGTTAATTCAGTGTGTATTCAAATCGGTCTCCCTCACCAGGTATTCTCTCTTCTCTTTAGTCACCCTTCTAGTTCCCTATCTGGAGACTAACCACCTTAAATTCTTTCTTCTTTCTCTTACCTTCCTTATTACTGGTTGTCAAGTCTTGATTTTACCTGTGAGATCCGGCAAAACAATTAAGGTGTTTTAATTAGACCTTTGTTATTGCAAAGAAAATTTTCTCAAGAAGAGAGAACTCGGGAGAAGCATGAATTAGCGTAGGGCCTGCCAGATGTGCACAGAGCTGGGTGTTAGCTACAGAACAGGCTCAGGCTCTGTGTTCTCTCCTGGCTGCTCTCTCTATCTGTTCAGCTTTATCCCCAGCTAGCCATCTTTTCATTCCTCAGTGCTGCATTCCTGAAGTTCCAGAACAAAAATGTGGTTCAGCTAAACCGTGTCTCTGGTAAAATCCTTCTTGTTAGGTGCTAGTCAGGCAGTAGATTGCTGGCTGTTTCTAAGCCAAGTTTGTGCTCCTGGCCTAGCAGTCATGTGGTTCAAAATGTGACCACACAGCACTGTTCTCTCGTCAAGAGCAATCCCTAGTTATGTGTTTTACTTTGGGGTTTTTGTTTTTTTAAATTTGCCCTCTGCGGTTTAAAATTACTATTAAATACCTTAGAAATGTCTTTGGAACGTTTTTCCAGCTTCATTGCTGGGACTCTCATTATCTCTTATTTGTTGTTGTTGTTTTTTTTAAAGATTTTATTTATTTTTTTGAAAGATAGAGTTATAGACAGTGAGAAGGAGAGACAGAGAGAGAGGTCTTCCATCCACTGGTTCACTCCTGAAATGGCCACAATGTTTAGAGCTGAGCTGATTCGAAACCAGGAGCCAGGAGCTTCTTCTGGGTCTCTCATGCAGGTGCTGGGGCCCAAGGTCTTGGGCCATCCTCCACTGCTTTCCCAGGCCACATAGCAGAGCACTAGATCAGAAGAGGAACAGCCGGGACTAGAAGTAGCTCCCAAATGGGATGCCAGCACCGCAGACAGAGGATTAACCTACTGCACCACAGTGCCGCCCCATTATCTCTTATTTGCTGTTGCTGCCTACTACTGCCGGATCACTCTGACATTACTTCTGAGTGTGAATTCTAGCACACATCGAATTTTTTAATATCAAGATTGATTTATTTATTTGAAAGTCAGAGTTACAAAGAAGGAAAGGCAGAGGAAGAGGCACAAAGAATCAATCTTCCATCTGCTGTTTCACTCCCCAGATGGCCACAACAGCCAGGCCTGGGCCAGGCCGAAGCCAGAAGCTAGGAACTTCATCCAGGTGTTCAACATGGGTCCAGGGGCCCAAGGAGTTGGGCTATCTTCCACTGCTTTCCCAGGCACATTATCAGGGAGCTGGGTTGGAAGTGGAGCAGCCTGGTCTTGAACCAGAGCCCATATAGGATGACGACACTGCAGGCGGTGGCTTCACCCGCTACGCAACAGCACTGGCCCCATGTCCAAGTTCTGTAGTCAAGCCTGTAACATGGTGCTGTTGTACCTGAGTGAGTGCAAACAGAGGAACACCACACATTGATAAAATTTGACAGTCCTTTATTGCCAGCAGTGGAGAGAAGGCTTATCCCCCAAAGAACTGTCAACTCTGAAGCCCAAAGCAACAGTAAAGGCAAGAACCACTAAATTGGGAGGGGAATACATGGTGACTAGGGTCAAGCTAACTTAAAACCTATGCAAAACTAATATCAATTATGATCTTAACAATACCAGTTATAATCTTGACATTAATCCAGGTATTGGCCTATATCATATGTGGGACATAGACAAATTACAATCTTAACATTAACCCAGATGCAGCCTGTTTTTAAGCTTGAGTGAGCATGCTAGGGGGTTTCAGTGCTTTGCCAAGTGTGATACAGGTTGCCAAGAGCGATGTAGTGGACTGCTATTGTCTGAGTGTTTAAGTTCATAGTTTTAGACCAGAGTCTCACAGTCGTGGGGGGGGGGGGGGGGCAGGGAATGCTTTCCCAAGATAGTCTCAGATGCTCCAAAATGGAGTCAGTACTGTCAAGGTGTTACTGTAGTGCTCCATAATTAGGGTATAATTTACTTTCAAATCTTTTCCTGAAATTCCCTCCAATATCATTTAACCCTCTTGTCTTGTAGTAGTTGAAATACCATATAAGCAAGGACAGTTGTTGCAACATTGTTTATAGTGAGCAACAGAAATGAAAAGGAAAGCAATATAACTGTTTTGAAAGAGGAATTACTGAATAAACTATGATACCTATGTATTATGGAATAACAATGGATTGAGTTTATTTTGCTTATTACATGGGACTTGGTGTCATAACACAGTGGGTTAAGCTTCTGTCTGCAACTCCAGCATCCGCATCCCAGATCAGAGTGCGGATTCAAGTCCTAGCTGCTCTGCTCCCAGTCCTGCTCCCTGAAAATGTGCCTGGGAAAGCAGTGGAAGATGGCCCTAGTGCTTGGGCCCCTGCACCCATGTGGGAGACCCAGAAGAAGCTCTGGGCTCCTGGCTTTGGACTGACCCAGCCTCAGCCATTTGGGGAGTGAACCAGTGGGTGAATATCTCCATCTCTCCCCCTCTGTGTCACTCTGCCTTTCAAATAAAAATTTCAAAAATTATTTTGCTTGTTAAGAGTTACAGAAATGGGCTGGCGCCGCGCCTCAATAGGCTAATCCTCCGCCTAGCGGCGCCGGCACACCAGGTTCTAGTCCCGGTCAGGGCGCCAGATTCTGTCCCGGTTGCGCCTCTTCCAGGCCAGCTCTCTGCTATGGCCAGGGAGTGCAGTGGAGGATGGCCCAGGTCCTTGGGCCCTGCACCCACATGGGAGACCAGGAGAAGCACCTGGCTCCTGGCTTCGGATCAGCACGATGCGCCAGCCGCGGTGGCCATTGGAGGGTGAACCAACGGTAAAGGAAGACCTTTCTCTCTGTCTCTCTCTCTCACTGTCCACTCTGCCTGTCAAAGATAAAAAAAAAAAAAAGTTACAGAAATGAAATCCAAATTTGTATAAACCAAGAAAAGGAATTTTCTGATACATGTACCTAAGAATATCAAGAGATGTACTGACTTCTTATAGGACCAGGTGGAGAATTGCATGCAGTATCTTCTGGAAGGCTTCTGTATTCTCTGGCTCTTGATCCTACTTTGTGTTGGTTTTATTCACAGGCAACTCTTCCCAAGCTATGGCCAGCAATGTTTGTTTGGGTTTTTTTTCCCTCCAGCCTAACAACCCCAGTAGAAAAACAACTCTTTCCCAGTAGTTTCAGCAAATGTGGTTGGTCTTATTTACCTGTCTTGAGTCACTTGCCAACTCCTGAGGTGTAGTCACTATGGCAAGGAGGAATTCATTTCTTGGTTACTTAGGCCTGGATCATGTTTGCAATCCTGGAGTTCAGTGTTGGAAGATGGGTAAAGAGAAAGAATTTCCTAAAGGAAAATTAGATTAATGATCCCAGAAAAAAGTGGATGCTGTGTGAGCAGAAAGAAACCCTCTGCAGGCAGCTTTAAAAAGACGCTGGAGTAGGCATTTGGTGTAATAGTTAAGATGCTGCTTGGGATACTTGCATTGCGTATCCAAGTTGCTGGGTTAGAGTCCTGGCTCTGCTTCCAATTCCAGCTTCCTGCTAATGTGCACCCTGAAGGTAGCATGTGATGGCTCAACTAGTTGGGTTCCTGCCACCCACATTAGAGATGTAGATTGAGTTTCTGTCTCCTACCTTCACCCTGGTCCAGTCCTGTCTGTTGTAAGCATTTGGGGCACTGGATCAGAAGTAGAACAGCCAGGACTTACCTGGCACTCCTGTGGTTTCACAGGCAGCGGCTTAACCTGCTGTACCACAACACTGGCCCCAGTGATTATGCTTTTTAAAAGACACAGAATGACAATACCACATGTTCTCCCTTACATGTGGAAGCTAAAATTAAAAAAAACAAATAAACAAAAAAAAAAAGAAGAAATGCTGTGTGTATGAGTTTTGGTGCAAATACAATGTTTTGTCAAATTTTGCTTTAAATATTTGCCAAACATTGATAGGAATTATGTATTGCTTTATTTATAATGATTTTGTGAATTTAAAATTTATTTTAAATTTGAAAATTTATGTGATTGAAGTTGAACATCTTTTCATTTGATTATTGTGTATAGCCCTTGCCTATTTTCATGTTGGACTATAGTCTTTTTACCTTCTGTTTGTTGAATTTTTTATTTAATAGACTATTAAGTCTTTGTAATGTTAATTAAAATGTTATCTCAAAATGATAAAAGAGACACAGAAAGATGACTTGCAAGGTGCACAGTGACATGTGTGTATGTGTGCATATTTATCTATAGACTGAGAAATACACACATTAAATGATTAACAGTGCCTATTTCAGAGAAGTATGATTGGGTGAAGAAGAGTATCAGTTACACTATTTCTGTACATATCTCTGTATTGTTTGACTCGTTGCCAGGAGCATGTATTATTTTTGTAAGCATAATGAAAGATTAAAAACTTAAACGTTGCAGTGAAGAATTTTCTTCTTAGGGATGTTACTGATTCTTGCCAGTTGCTTTTTGGGTGAGAGTACTAGTAATGATGTAGTTGGCATTTTCTGATTACTTTCTCTGTATCAGGTAAATGGCATATTATGTAATTGCTAATCTAATCTTCACAATAAACTTCTGAGTTTAACAACAGTAGTACTAGTAGTAGTAGTTTAACAACAGTAGTTAAACAGTACTGTTTAACAACAGTAGTTGACATGTACATCAACAGCAACTGAAACCCAGCTATCAGAATGAACTGGATAGTGAAAATAAGCAAAGGTATCCACAGGTCCCACCTTGAGCTACCAACTCAAAACCAGGGGTGGTGGTTGTGGTGCACGCAGGTTTCACTGTTGCTGGGGACACCCGCTTCTCATTCAGAGTGCTGGTGCAAGTCCAGCTACGCCGTGTACAGTCTTGCTTCCTGCTAGTGCATATTGGGAGATAACAAGAGAATGGCTCAAGTACTTAGGCTCCAGGAAGGAGGTCTGGGTTCCTGGCTTAGTCCTGACTGTTGTGGGTATTTGGGAATGAGCCAGCAGATGGAAGATTCTCTCTTCTCTCTTCTCTTCTCTCTCTCCCCCTCCTATCCCCTTCCCCCCTCCCTCTCCCTCTCCTTCTCCCTCCCGCCACCTCTCCCTTTCTTCCTGTGTGCATGTATGTGTCTGCCTTTCAAGTACATGAAATTAAACACTTTTTAAAAAATCTTGTGCAGAACCTAATCTATATTTACCAGGCACCATAAGTAATATATTTGTAGTCAGTTTGTTTTGTATTTAATCCATTGTAGCACAACTAGTAAGAATCAGAGTTGGATTTGAAATCTAAACCAATGCTCTTGACAATGGCACTATTGATAACATGGTTATTATTACTGTTACCATTATATATTAAGTTTTTGGCTAGAACAACCTTTGTAGACCAGCATGAAAATCTGTCCAACTGTTATGAGCTACAATTCTTTGGAGAAAATGAGTTCTGAATTCTAAGCATGACAGTTTGCAAATGATCTTTTGAAACAAAGTTTTTCTCAAAATAAGATTATCTTGTCATTGCAACAACAGTATTAGGCATTGTACAGGTTAGCAAAATTGGCACCCTTTTTACTGGAATGACAAGCTGTTACACATTAATGAAATATGGAGATACAGATTGGTCTGTTTTATAGGGCATTGTTTTTTCTTCTGATCAGATTAACACTTTTTTATTTAATAAGAAATGTAAGAACTACTTCCCTCACAATGCTCCTTATGCCTCATCTATATCCCTTTTGTCTGTCTCTTTCTCTCACAAATACTTTTTCTGTCTATCTCTCAGGCATACTTTGATTAAATGCTGTCTATGCAATTTCTTTAAAAAAATTTATTTTTATTTATTTGAAAGAGAAGCCAGGAGCCATTAGCTTCCTCCCGGCCTCCCCTGTGGGTACAGGGGCCCAAGCTCTTGGGCCATCTTTTGCTTTCCCAGGCCTTTAGCAGAGAACTGATTGTAAGTGGAGCCGCCAGTGCAAATCCTCACCCATATGGGATGCTGGTGCTATGCCACACGCTGTGCCACAGCACTGGTCCCTGTCTACATGATTTCTCTTTTTAGACCTTTAATGTAGGTATCTGAGTTTTAGTTCAGTGTTGTAAATATTTAAAGTGCAAATGTTGATCCCAGACAACAGTGGGCTGTTCCACTTCTGAGCCAGTTCCCTGCTAATACACCTGGGAAAACAACAGAGGATAGTATAAGTGCTTGGGCCCTTTCCACCCACCCAGGCTTGGGCCTGAGGACATTGTGACCATTTAGAGAGTGAACCATTAGAGAGAGAACCTGCCTCCTTTCTTCTCTCTCTGTAACTCTCAAAGAAATAAATAAATCTTCAAAAAAATTAAATAAAATGCAAATGTTTAGTATTTTGCCTATTTAAACATTTAATATGGAATATGAGCTTTTATTATAAGGAAGGAAATCATATTTAAGTTTATACAATTAATACTTGTGGACAACCAATCAAGCTAGAATAATGATAACTTCTTAAATAGTAAGTTGAAAAAAATTTTATTTTCTGGTATGCTTGTCATTCAGCATAGAATTATGTAGGCAGTTGATTTGCCCCTTAGCCTGAGTACACACAAAACAACAAAAACATTACATAGAAAAGAAAATGCAAATTTTCCATTGGCTTGAGCTTGGTGCAACCATTTCTCTGAGTCGTCAGAGTTGTGGCTGTCTTTGAGGTCACTGCTGATTGCTGCCTTGGGGTTGTGGCGCTGTGAGTCGGCTTCCCGGGCCTTGGGGTCGGCGATCTGGGCCTCGAGATCGGCGAACTGGGCCTCAGGATCGGCATCTTGGGGCTGTGCGTCGGCTTCCTGGGACTCAGGGTCAGCGAACTGGGCCCGGGAGTCGGCATCTTGGAACTGTACGTCAGCGTCCCGGGCCTCGGGGTCGTCTCAGCATGCAGACTGGTCCTGGCGTTCAGGCTTGGTTTGGTACTGAGGCTTGGGACTGCCGTAGAAGGTGTGCTCTGTGCTGCTGTAATAGCTGACTTTTCCAGATCGCTGCCAACAGACAGGAGGAGCAGGCTGATCAGTGACAGCCTCAACATCTTTTTCCTGTTTCAAAATAATTACATAAACTTAATCTAACACTTGGATCACAGACAAGCATATATACTTGATTGTATTTACTTAGTACATTCGTGTTAGGTAAATATGCTTTTTCATTGTTTATGAAAAAAGCTTCCTTTTTTTATTCTCAGTAATCTGCTGACATATCTATTTTCTAGGTAGAGCCACCAACTTTAGACTAAAACAATCTGAAGGATAAAAAGAAGCTTTATTTGGTCTTTCTATGAAAAAGAAAAAGTAAAACTTTAGACAAAATACAAAAAGACAGGGGTTTGAGGTCCCTGCAGAGAAAAGTGGAGGTGGAGAAGAGGCCATTTTAGAGAATGGAATAACAAGTCCTGAAAAAAAATTGGCATATATTATTCTTGAGATTTCTTATGGCCTTTGTTCCAACAATGTAAGGTTTAAGCCAAGGTCACAAATTAGGGTATTACTTTTAAATGTTTACTGCAGAGACTAAAAAGGATTAAACCAAAGGATTGCCCCACTGCGGAGATGAGATTTCCTTCATCCCTACCCTTATAAAAAGCTAGCTTTTAAGAAGTTCATTGGAAAACAGGAAGAAATTTAGAATTGATAAAAGTCAACAGCTTCATTTTACAGACTCAGCCTACAGTTATAACTTCCTGAGAACACGGGTCTTAAAATGCCCAGCACAGGCACTCAGATCTGAGTCCCGTGTTCTTTCCCAGATGTGAACTCTAAAGGCATAGTATAAACATCCACGAGATTGTTTGAAGCAGGGCTGGTTTACTTTCATCTTTCTCTCACATCTACTGGCTTGTTACAACTAGCTCATGCTGAACATCGTTAAATACAGTAATTTTTTAAACTTAAATTTTAATGTTAAAAATCTGATGTATACTGAAAGTTATGTTTAGTTGGGAAAATTTCAAATTAATATTACCTTTTGATTTTCTTTGTTGAAGAGTAAGAATTCAGATTTTCTCCAGTGTCCTGTGAGGGTTCTGATTTCTTAGTTACTATGTTATTTAAACCCTACTAGTAAGAAAGTCACGTGTTTTAAACTTGCCTTACCATTTGCTCTTTGGAAGTATCCAACTGAATGTTTTCCAAACTACTATTGTAAACATATGGCCTTTGGCAGAGGTGAATGTATTCAAATAAAGTCTTTGTAACATCTACTTGTTTGTTTTAAGAATCTAGTGAATATCACTTTGTTAGTCCCCTTTTCTATATTTGAGTTTTTTCACTAGATCAATTCTAACAAGATGAATATATTTTTGTTTTTTATTTAAAATCAAGTAAGTGTATTAAAGATATCGTTACCTGTTTTTCACTGTTAGAGTGGCATTGTGTACAGGGCAGTTAGTAGCCATGGCTACCATGAAGTTATAAAATTAATTCAGGAATAATGCATTCCAGGAGTACAATAATTAACCATTTAGAAAGAAGGTAAACTTTATTAATATGAAATTTAATAAAAGGCTCACATTTGAAAGTTATGCCTTCATACTGAATTTGCAAAGTTTTATATTTGTATTTAATGTATTTAATCACCCACCTTGAAAAAAATTAAGTATATTCTTTAAAGGAATTTTATCTTTTGGTCAGTCCTTCCTTCTGATAATTAACGTACAGGGAAGCTGGGTGGTATTGTGCTGAGGTTTTCATCACCTTGGCTGTCATCATTTAAAAATTGCAGGGCTGTGAACAATGTGTTGACATACAAGGAAATTGCCACATAAATGGTGAAAGTACAAGTCAATACATGTTCCTCACTGGCTCGACTTTGTTATGAAGTTTTTTTTCTTCTGAAATCAAGGGACCCATGTACACTAAATCTCATTTATGTGGTACATATAATAACCTCACTGACTGGAAATTAGTGTGGTCAGGCCTAAGAAGTAAATAAACAAAAAAGCTTCTTGGCAACCAGAGTAAATATTATAAATCAGAGTACTAAGGTAATGCAGAGGAGTTTGGTACTGTCCTCTACTTACTGGCGTGTTCTGTGGGTTTTCTTGAGGGGTATGTAGTTACTGGTAACAATAATATTATTGTGGCCTTCTGCAGACTATTAGTAACTTACTCTAGTTTACTAATCCTGACCATTTTGAATTCTAGACTTTAACATTTCTTTATTGGTACTTCAGGCACCTCTGTCTCCACTTAATTAAAATTTGAGAGTCAACATTTTCCCTCCATATTTCTGTATCCAGATGTATTCTTTTTACAGTGTTAGTTAATTGCAGCATCACCTGGCCAAATGGCTCACTAAGCTTGGATTTCTCATTATCTTCTCACTGTTACTGATCTTAAACTCCTCAGGCCTCTTGATGATGACTAAGTAAAATTTAAAATTCTGACCTTTGCAGCGGCAAAATGCTCCAAGACAGAAGTTGTTTTCCATTATCCATGTCTTCACCTCCCATGTCAACTCTTTGTGCAACTTCCCCAGTCTGTCCAAGGTACTTTCCGTCATTGTTCAAAATTCTCTTCCTTCAAGGTCTGATTCTGATGCCAGTGCTTTTTATGTGAGCCTATCCCAATTTCACAGTTGAACAAAGTCATATTAGGACTTTATACTTATTAAGTATGCTTTTTTCTCTATATATATTCTAAATCTTTCATCCCCCATGTTCATCCACCTTCTTGTGGTCAGAAACCACCTCTTGTTCTTTGTATTCCTTCTACCTAGTAGCATAGTGAGTGCTTATGTAAACATTGGAATTCATTGAAATACACCATTTCTTTATGTCTGGAAGCTGATATCATTAATGGTGCCTAAAATAATGAGAGACATTTGGTCATTTAAGTTTCCCCTGCATCGTATTCATGAATTTGTAAGTTTCAGGCCTGAGTTTAAGTCCTGTCTCTACTTTCTGGCTGTTATTTTGGGATGATTTTATCATTTGTATAATGTGGATCATAGTATACATTAATAACTTCTTAACCATGATTCTGAAATCCAAAATCCTCTGAAAAAAATTTTTGGCATAAAATTTTATTTGGGGGAAAAATCACATAACTGCATTTGAAAAAGTTAGGTACAGAAGGAATGTACTCGACATAATAGAAACTATGTATGAAGAACCAAAAGCCAACATCCAACTGAGGGAGGGAAAACTGAAGGTTGAGATCTGGAACAAGAGAGGTATGCTCACATTCACCACTTTTATTCTACACAGTACTAGTAGTCCTAGCCAGAGCAGTTGGGCAAGAGAAAGAAATCAATTGGACAATTTATATATAAGTAATAATTGTCCAAATTAGAAAGGAAGAAGTCAAATTTTTTTTTTTTTAATTTTTTGACAGGCAGAGTGGACAGTGAGAGAGAGAGACAGAGAGAAAAGTCTTCCTTTGCCGTTGGTTCACCCTCCAATGGCCGCCGCGGCCGGCGCGCTGTGGCCGGCACACCGCGCTGATCCGATGGCAGGAGCCAGGAGCCAGGTGCTTTTCCTGGTCTCCCATGGGGTGCAGGGCCCAAGCACTTGGGCCATCCTCCACTGCACTCCCTGGCCACAGCACAGAGCTGGCCTGGAAGAGGGGCAACCGGGACAGAATCCGGCGCCCCGACCAGGACTAGAACCCGGTGTGCCAGCGCCGCTAGGCGGAGGATTAGCCTAGTGAGCCGCGGCGCCGGCCGAAGAAGTCAAATTATCACTGTTTGCTAATGGCATTATCTTACATATAGAAAACCCAATGACTCTACCCAAAAACTAATAAAACTGATTCAGCAAAATTTCAGAATACAAAGTCAACATACAAACATCAATAACATTACTTGAAGATTTATTGATTTCTTTGAAAAAGTTACAGAAAGAGAGGGAGAGACAAGAGAAAGATCTTCTATCCTCTGGTTCCCCAAATGGCTGCAGTAGTTGGCCTCGGCCAGACCGAAACCAGGAGTCTAGAACTACATCCAGGTTTTCCACAGTGGGTGGCAGGGCCCAACTAATTGGTCCGTCTTCTGCTGCCTCCCCAAGCAAATTAGCAGAGAGCTGGATTGGAAGGATTGAAAGTGGAGCAGCCAGGACTTGAACTGGTACTCCTCTGGGATACCATGTGGCCTAACCCACTCTGCCATACCACTGGTCCCAAACAATAGCACTGTTGTATACCTATAGCAAGTCACCTGAAAAATCAGGAAAACAATCCCATCCCAATAACTATTAAAAAAGGAATAAAGTTAACCAAAGAGGTGAAAATTCCCTACAATAAAATCTGTAAAACATTGATGAAAAAAGTTGAAGAGGACACAGAGAAATGGGAAGATGCCCTGTATTCAAGAATCGGAAGAATCAGTATCATTAAAGTGTCCATGCTGCCCAAAATCATTCATAGATTCAGTGCAATCCCAATCAAAATACTAGTGACATTTTTCATAAAACTAGAAAAGAAACTATGAAAATTGTGTAAAACCACAAAAGATCTGAAACAGGGAAAGCAGTCTTGAGCAAAAAGAAAAAAAGCAAGAGGCGTTATACTGCCTGACTTGAAAATAAATTCTGAAGATGGGCGCTATGGCACTTAGGACACCCACATCCTCTATCAGGGTGCCTATGATGAAGTCCCACCTGTACTTCTGATCCAGCTTTCTGCTAATGTGCACCCTGGGAGGTAGATGATAGCTCAAGTACTTGGGTCCCTTCTACCCATGTGGGATGGGAGACCCAGATGGAATTCTAAGCTCCTGGCTTTGGCTTAGCTCAGCTCTAGCTGTTGTAGCTAATGGAAGATCTCTCTCCCTGTCCCCCACCCTACTCCCATGTCCTTCTGCCTTTCAAATACATAAAAATAAACTTAAAACAGTTTATTACAAAGTTACAGGAACTAAAACCATCATGGTATTGGCATAAATAAGAAACGTCAGTAGAATGAAATTGCCAGCTCATCTTTGACAGAAGTCTAAGAACATGCATTGGAAAAAGGACAGTCTTTCCAGTAAAAGGTGCTGAGAAATCTGCATGTCAGCATACATAAGACTGAAACTTGACTCCTTCACCATGTGCAAAGTTAACTTACCATATACAGAGATCAAATGAAAATGGATTTAGGACCTGAAATTTTGAAAATACCAGAAGAAAACATAAGAGATACTTCAGGACACTGGAATGGACAAGAATTTTTTGGAACAGATTCTAAAAATCAAAGCAAAAATAGATGTAAAAAAAAAAAAAACCCACAAACAGGAATTTCATGAAAGAGCTTCTGCATAGCAAAGGGAATAACCAGTAGAGTGAATGACAGTGAGTGGGAGAAAACATTCGCAAGTGATGCATCTGACAAGAGGTTAGTAACTGGACTGTGTAAGCAACTCAAGCAATGCTCAGCAGAAAAACAATCCAGTTTAAAAATGGACAATAGAGGGGCCAGCACTGCTACTTGTAGGCTAAACCTCTGCCGTAGCACTGGCATCCCATATGGGAGCCAGTTCATGTCCTGGCTGCTCCTCCTCTAATCCAACTCTGTGCTGTGACCTGGGAAAGTAGTAGGGCCCCTGCACCTGTGTGGAAGACCCAGACAAGGCTCCTGGCTTCAGATTGGTCCAGCTCCAGCTGTTGCAGCCATTTGGGGAGTGAACCAGTAGATGAAAGACCTTTCTCTCTGTCTCTCCCTCTCTTGTCTGTAACTCTGCCTCTCAAATAAATAAAATCTTAAAAAATGGACAGATTTAAACATTTACGTTTCATCAGAGATATCCAAGTGGCTAACATGTGCATGAAAAATGCTCAACATCACTAATCATCAGGGGAGTACAAATCAACCCCAATGAGATAGTACCTCACTCCAGTTATTAAAAAAATGGAAAGATAACAACTTATGAGGATACAGAGAAATGGGAACTCTTGCACACTGTAATTGAGAATGTAAATTATTACAACCATTTTCAACAAAAGCATAGCAGTTCCTCAGAAAACTAAAAAGAGAGGTTGGCATGCCAGTGGGGACATCCATGTTCCACTTCAGAGAGCCTAGGTTGAAACCCCAGCTCTGCTTCTGCTTCTAGCTTCCTGTAAATGTACACCCAGGAGTTGATGGCTCAAATAGTTGGAACCCTGT